GCCAAAGAATGTAAGATTTAAAAAAAAAAAAAATTACCATGAAAAAATATATACAAAATCACCAAGAAATATATATATATGAAGATATAACTTACACATTGATATAAAAGTTAACCAACTTGTCAATAATAAACTGCTGTAGAGAACAATGCTGAAAATATATTAATTTAAAGTAGACTCTTTAGATTTATACAAGCAATGTCAACAAAGTATATTACATAAAATTCTGTACAGCTGATAAATTGTGTGAAGCAATGAACGTTACCCATAAAGTCGGTGCCTACTTTGATACTTCAACAAATTCAGATGTTTACACAGAGTTAGATGTGTTGTCCTGAAACGGTGGGTTATTTTACTGGCGTAAACAGTAATGGAAGGATAGTTCTTGGAAGAAGCAGAAATTGACCAACAACACAGCGCTTCCTTAAAAAAAAAAAAAAATATAAAAAGACTATCATTTAAATTTTTTCTCTAGAAGACATCCCACGGCTTACTTTCTGTGGATGTCTTTTTTTTCCCCCCACATACACAAATCTATATTAATTCAAGTACAAAAATTTGCATTTACTCAAGTATTTATAAATTCATGACTTTATAATGAAACATTATCATCATGTTTCAATGAAACTGTGCGGCTGGCGATCTTAACTCAGGCTCTTATATATTTGGTGTAGGGTTTATATTACGAGCACCGTGAAAAATCATTCTAAGGCTTTTTTTAATGGCTGGGTCTTATCTTCAGGGAAACATGGTATACACAGGACTCGAACAAAATAGTGCAGTATAATATGCCATTAGAATATCTCAGTCATATAATTCGTTAACGAGCAACAGATGAGATGGTTTAGCCATCTGATAAGAATATCCTGGTACCAAATGCCTCAGAGAACCACGTGTAAATATACTGAACACAGATCAAGATCACTCAAAAATGAAATAAAAGCATCAAGTACAACCTTTAAGAAATGAAGACCAACTTATACATTAGAACAAGCACACAGAGATGGCATACAGCCTGGTCCATGCTGCAGTCAATATCTTTCTGAAACGGTAGAAGCAACAAAGACAAACAGAAACATCTGAAGTACTGAAGACAACAGAACTGTGACATTCAGGTTTGTATACTGATCTGTTCATGGAGAATCAGGACATCTGTTAAATCCTCTAACACACAAGCAGCACTCATAACAAACACATCATACTAAATGGTAAGAGCACCCTTGGTAACATACAATATGTACATTGTACTAACTGGCAAGAGGACCATTGGGTAACCCTCACATGCACATCCTACTAACTGGCAAAGAGCACCCTCGGATAACCCTCACATGCATATCCTACAAAGTGGCAACAGCACTGTTAGGTAACACATGCACATGACACTAACTGGCAAAGAGCACTCTCAGGTGACCCTCAAATGCACATCGTACAAACTGGCAACAATACCGCCACTGGGTTTTCTGACATCAGTGCAGATATTTGTTTCTACATTGTTATTAACTTGTTATGATCTCAGATGCTGTTGCTTTAGTGCTCTAAACATCTGGGTTAAGGGATTTTACAGTAATAATTTATATACAGTAGTATTACTGATCAGGTCAGAGTTGCAATGAAAATTGTGGTTGGGGTGGGGAAACAGATGAAGGTAGACTTGCAGGTTCGGGACTGCACACATTCTAGGTCACAGCTTAATGGAGCAGGATAACATGGTTTTCATTCGCAGAGTGTTTTCTTGAAAAGATGTTCTGAAATATATTACATATTTCATGACACTGGGTCAATTCAATAGATATAAGATAGAGTGGACTAAAGCCATAACTGACCAGAAAAGAATTATCTAGAGTGATAATTAGAATGCAGAACCTTTCCTTGAGTTCCAGAGCTTCATATTGACAGGAAAAGGAAGAGACCCTTTGCAACAGTAAAAAGCATGTCATAACTGGCATGGCAAATAACTAGGGATTATTTCCTTCGAGGTCAAGAGTGCATCTGCCTCATGGTGAGAAACCAACAGTATGCATACAAATAAGGCATATCTGTAAAAAGGTGTGCACACAAAACTCAAGTTTTGGAATAAGATCAAAGTCCAGATGCGAAAGAACAACCAGAACTTTCTGCCACACAGGGAAATAGACATATTACGAGAAGGACAAGACTTGGGAACTCAGTGACGGCTGGCAAAATTTAGGAAACAGAGTTAGGGGAAGGAAAAGAGATAAATACCTGAATCGCTTAGCCATATGCAGGAGTGAGATAAGAGCACTGACCTGATCCATCATCTTGGCGATCATATGAGAAGTTGAAATATGACAGTCTGCACATGGTCATGATAATGATGAGACTGACTTATAACTTTTCAAATGAAAGAAGAGTTAAAATTGCAACCAGGAAATAGCAGGTTAAAGTCAAAAATGCTTGGAATAAAAGAAATTCTTAAAAAGACATCAGGATTATTATTAGACACAGTATTTTTAAAAGTCTGCAACAGTCAGTCTTATGGTATGTTAATTTTAACTAAATTGTTTGTTTCGTTGTATCATTGTTTATAATTTTCAAATATTCTTTTAATACCTAGGTATAATATCAACATAATTTTGAAGAGAACAAAACGTTGGTAATTAACTCTTTGAGTCCCAAGGAACGCACCACGCGCTAATTGGTTACTACCTGGCGGCCCAAACAGCGCGTGACGTGTGACGGTTTTTAATTCACCACTTATCGGTAATTACACGCGAACCGCTCAATTTAAACTTCCTTTCCGGTTCTCAAGTGTGTAGTGAACACACGCGGAGTGCATTCATTTGAGTCTGGTGAGTTTTTAACGCTTTAAATCGGTATTTGTGTGGTATACTAAGTTACCAAACAATTGTCTGAAAACAATATGTCCGATCAGTCTTCACGCCCATCAAAGCAATTTACTGCTTTAGAATCATCAAATTTGATAAAACAGTGGATCGATTAAAGTAATGTGGAGTTGGATAATGATAGTAGCGACGTGGAATTTTCCCCAAACTGTTGACGAGCCAAGTTTTTATGAGGATGTGTGCGTAATTTACCTCCTGCTTAGAGGACAAAACTGACTAATTCTGCCATGGCAACACAAGAGAAGCAGCTCTTAATGCACAACACCAGTTAGTCCAAATGTCAGCACTTCTAGTACTACTATCCATATCATCTAAAACCATAGATATATATCTATGAACAGGCTGACATGTTTACAGTGCCTTTACAGTTTTTTCTATGTGAGGAATTCAATCGTTTTTAGAAAAGTCACTGTTTGTGCCACTGGAGAATATATTTTGACGTGTTATGGTAGTGTTATTAAAATTGCTATGGAACAACAACTATTGCACATTTTGCTTTAATTTTGGCTGTGCATACTTATAAGTGGTGTACCTTCCTTTGTGATGCATTTTGGATATACTATATCAAGAATTTTGGGATCAGCTTCTGGGTAAGTGGAAAAAACTTGTTCATAATTTACTCACCTTTCAAACTAAGTCACCATTTTCTCTACTAAATACTAACTAACAGTATAATTGTTTGTTGTAGCAGTATGCTAAGATTAATCCTTATCCATTTATGTTTATTTTCATGTATGATATGTGTATGTTGGACATCAGCTGCAGTTGTGTGGTTTGTTTTAAAGTGCTGCATTTGTTAAAAGTCAAAATCATAGTACCCCCCTTGAGCCTCTGATGCAAAATCCCCTGGGACTCAAAGAGTTGAAGACCTATAACACTCTGACCACATAACACTAATGTATCAGACGGTGATAATTTCAATTTACATTCAACCCTGTGTGGATTCCAGGGCCTCATTCTGGGGGAAACAGAAAACAGATCCACTGCCAATCTAACAAGCATGTCGTGAAAGTCGACTAATTAGTCGCGTTTCTTTGTAGTCAGAGTGCATCTACCTGATAGGTGAGGAATCAACACATAAGCCAGATCTGTACAATAGATGTGCATGCAAACCTTAGGTTCTGGAACAAGCCTAAAGTCCAGAAGTGGATGAACAACCAGAACTTTCTACCGGAAGAAGAAGAATTTACATTCTGTGGTCATGTCATGAAAAGGAGAAAAACAGGAATACATAGTGATGGCAGGAAAAAAGAAGAAAAGGTACAGAGGGATACCAGAAAAGAAGATGCTAGACAGTCTGACATCATGACATTTGAGTTCGCCTGTCAGAAATGACTAAAAGTACACGAGGCAGAAATGACTAAAAGTACATGAGGCTGTAGATAAAAATGACCACTAACGCCACACGACCTGGACTTTAAAGAAAGGTAAGGACAATTTCCCTGTATAATGTAAGCTTGATTGGTGAAATCTTAAGAGTAATCATCATCAACAAATGTCTCACTCACTCACACGGATGCTCATGCTTGATCAAACTCTACAGTCTTCAACAGTGTCATTCATGTGTTTACACCTTTCTGTGCCATGAACTGCAGCAAATTCTGCCTGAGTTTTTGTTGCCCACTCTTTCATTATTCACTATTTGATGCTTCAGCTTGGAAAATGCTTCTTCTACTTCTTAGTGTTCACTGGCTGTAAATTCCAAAGGAAAGTTCTGGTTGTTAGTCCCCAACTTTTGGTAGTCTTGTTCCAGAAGTTCAATTTTGCTTCTATGCATACTGTTGGTTCCTCACCGCTCAGACAGATAAGCTTTGACTTCAGAGTGATGGAAAATGCTGAAAATGAAGACTTTTGGTTTACACCAAGCTTAATCCCAAGGAGCAATCACAGATAACCAATCCCAAGGAGCAATCACAGATAACCGAGGTGACTGGACAGCGGTTATTTTGATGCATAATTTTTTGCTTTTCTCAATCATGAGCTTCAATACAGGCTATAAAAAGGTCATGGGGAGCTGGGGTTAAAAGGGTTAAGCTGTAATAATCAATGAAAATTGAAAAAAAAAAAATCTTGAAATTCCGTACCAGTGGAGCAATGCAAAATCATGAAGATAATGTAAACAGTTCTTGCTGTACGTTATAGTTCTGTTGAACTTTTTGGACGGGGTTTCCCCCGGCGCTGAGCCAGTCTGGATGCACCAACTGGTTCTAAGGTAGCTTGCTTCAGATTTTGATCATTCAAAGCTTTGAATGTGGCTGCAACAGCACCCTGAAATTACAACACGAAAAGTTGCAACATAAAAATTGTTTTGTCTTCCTTCCCTTTTGCTTCAAGACAATTAATGGATTAAATTACTTTTTTCTGCTGAAGTCAAAAATAATATTCTTCTTTTTCCCTTTAACCCTCAATGAAACAAAGGCACTCAACCAGCTCATTGCAAGTCATCACATTCTTCTGCTTTCGCATGCAGTTCACACCATACCCCCCCCCCCCCCCCCACCAAATTCTCTTCTCTTTGGTCGGTCTTTATTCCTCTGACAGTGGGTTCCAGTGGATGGACACAAAGCGCCTGTAAATTGGTTAAAGTAAAAATCTTGAGATCATGCATTTTTCCTGTGGCAACTTATGGCTGCAAGTCCTAGACTCTCACTCAGTCACTGAGGTAAAAAAACTGGAGCTTTTGAGTTGAAATGTCATAGAAATATTCTTAGAATACCGTGGATCAAGAAGAGGAAAAACATAGACATTCTAAATTCTAAACGAGTTGAACATCAGGAAGAACTGTCTCATAAAAAGCATCCTGTCTGTTGGGTGCTAAATTCACTGGCCTGGTCAGAGGCGTGATAGCCTATTGCAGGGGAAGCGGCACAGATGATGATGGTAACAGAGACGTGGGCAAAAGGAGTCCATGTGGCTTGAGATGAGAGATGAGTGCAAAGGTTCTCGAGGAGCACGAAGTTGTGGAAGAGGTGTTTCTAGAGAATCTTTACTAACAGTGGTTTGCACACGCTTAGCAAGAACCAAGCGGGTTCCGAAGTGCTTAACTATGGGTTGGTTGTAGATGTTAATTCCAGTGCCTCTCAACCGACCCGACTGTGCAGACACATGTTCAGTTGTCTGTGAATTTTTTAGCAGTAATTATGTGTATCATGTTAGTTTATTGAAAGTTACTTTGTGCATTAGAATTTGGTGTATAAGTCGATATGCTCCTATTGTGCGTATTCTGTGGAGACAAGGCGTGGAGGGCCCAACATGTTATTTGCCACAAGGCCGACAGAAGTCGAGCGGTGAATTGTGGCGCAATTGTGAGGACGGCAATTGTGTAGTGCCTCATGATGATTCTGATGTGACTGTGTGTGTCGAGAGACTTGTTGCCTAGGGCCGAGTCTCTGATCAGTTATCATGTATCGGTTATGGTGACCCGAAGTGAGGGTCCGTAACCGAGGAGGAGAATCTGTTTTGGGTGATGACGCAAGGAGGTATAGGATCACAAGTGAAACAAGACAGTAAGGAGTATGTTGTGGACTCATGCCAAGTGGAGGCTAGGTGTTCCCTTTCATGTGACATCGCCTTGGTAGAAAATTATAGTGTATAGGTGGAGCTTTAGATGGACAGTCGTCCTGTATCACCAGTTCATGCTCATTGTCATGTTATGTTGCATTCAAATAAACAGGCTGAAGCACGAGTAAAGAAATGACTCTTCACGTTTTGTTGCAGTTGGCTGCGGACTATTCTCAGTGTTAGAAGTATGATATGATTATGAGAACTGTGTTAACCTAGTACTTCCAGGTAGGGAACCCCATTAGTTACAGGAGGTTGGCTTGGGGGGAACTTTCATATAGGAGTGAGGCTTAATAGTCAGCTTTAGACACTAGGTTAAGAAGCAATACACACACACTGCACATTGTTCCAAAATTTAAAGTATTTTGGCCACATCAAGAATCATTGTGGTTTGGAAAAGACAGTGATAGAGGGTAAAGTTTGTGGAAGGGGTCGACCACTGCAAAGATGGATACAGGACATTGAAGAAGCATTGGCACTGAAAGCAAATGGGGCCGGAGAGCTGGCTAGGGAAAGGGATACTCTCAGGCTTCCAGTGAAGACAGCGAGATTCTGTAAAGGACTTGCTGACTGATGATGATATTCACAAGAGCGTAGCACAAACAGCCTGGCCATTTACCACTCGCCATCCCTACCATGTATAAACATACACATTGCTGTTAATAGGCTCACAAGTTCAGTGCTCTTCTACTGTTTTTAAAAAAAAAAGGCCCTTTCCATACTCGTGTCACATCGAGAATAAGGTGCTAGACTAGCAGTTCTCAAGCTGTGGGTTATGACACTTCTGTGGGTCAAACAAGCCCCTCACAGGGGTTGCCTAAGACACATATTCACTGAAGTTATGAAGTAACAAGGAAAATAACTTTATGGTTGGGGGTCACCACAACATGACGAACTGTATTAAAGGGTCGCAGCATTAGGAAGGTTGAGAACCTCTGTGCTAGACCCATATATCTATATACCAATCGGCATTCAGTTGTTGATGGGGTCAACATCATGCCAGGTGCCAGTACTTTCCATGACATTTTCTGGTACTTATTTTCGACTGGGTCAACCAGGGAGATCCACTGCTTCTATATTTTACTTCTACTAGCAGTCAGTCTGGGTTCAATAACATATATCTCACCTTTACTAGCTGTGCATCTTGCAAGGTCAGCCTGAGATGAGGTAGAGAATCCCGCTGAGCGATCCAGGGGTGGTTCAACACCTGAGTGGCTGTGAGTCGATTGTGTGGGTCAATATGCAGCATGCGCTTCACCAGGTCCTAAGAACAAAACAGAAAGACATTAGAATACATCCTGCCATTACAACAAACTGAATCAGTGTTGCAGTAAATTGTAAACACTATGGTCTGGCATACAATGACTTCTCATTTACTGGTTACCTCACTGAAGGTGCTCACTATAATGACAACTGAACACAATGAAGCAACTAAATGTGCAGATAAAAAGACATGGCCATAAACCTGTGCTTGACCTGTTTAAAAAAAAAAAAGGTGTGTACTTTCAACTGTAGTTGGATTTTATATATCAGTTAGGATTTATTTATTTGAGTGATATATTTAATTGTTACTGTTGTAATGAATCTAACCAGATACAGGAAAATATATCAAAACAATAAACTGTGCAACTGATTTGTCTTCATTCTTTTGTTATTAGTTGAAGTTTCATCTTCACTGCAGACGAGCTGCCCTATATTTGCCAGTTCCTGTGCAAGTGGAAATCACACAGAATGTCCTTTACTGTCCCATTTGAAAACTAGTGAAAAACACATCGGTCCTAGGTCCTGAAGCTTGCACATGCAAAATGCGAAGTAAATGCATAAAGTAACCATCATATGTGCCTACAACAGAAGTGCAGCTTACTGTTTATGCAAGAAGTCAATTACAAAAGCCAGCATTGTAAATGCATTACTGCAAAAGTACACACAATTCCAAATGTAATCAACCATCCTCAATTTTCAGTGCAGTTCATGAAATAAAGATGTCTTTTCTGTTTGTCCTTAGAAGGACAGTTAACACGTGTTGTGGTTTATATCTAGGTTGCGATATCTACATCTTTCGGCCCAACACATCAGCAAATATTTAATTTGTTGCCTTTTACAGTGAAACTGTTCCCCGCCCCTCCCCACAGGATCAAATGGGGCACTGGAACTCACATGGGTGACTCAGTTGTTAAAGTTCTGACACATGTCTGGTACCCATTTTATTGTTACCCCAGTCAGACAGATAGACAAAGAGTAAACTTGGCTCATGCCAAAACAAAAATGCAACTGGATAAAAAGCTACAGAAACATGGATGATAGACAACATAAAGAGTACACTAAGCTAAAATGGATACAAACAACCAAAGTGGTTTTATCTGCACTTAACAGTAAATTTGGATTAGGAAGGTTACTAGTAGATAAACAGCAAACATAGTAGGAATTCAAACCTCAAATCAGTACTACAGAGACAAACAGAACTGTTACAAACATGTTAAATGTAGTTACTTTTGCTTGTGGAGACACCGACTCCCAGTTTCCACCAACCAATGAAAACTTGCCCTCTCCTATTCTGGCCAGGATGTCATTTGGTGTATCGTTTGGGCCATTTGCAAATGGCGTGTACCTGCGAGAGGAGGAACAAAATGTCTTGAAGTACATTCAGGTGACTGTCTTTACACAATTAGAAAAGAATCATAGAATCCCCCTCGACCCTAGGACAGTGGATTGGACATCTATCCTTCTCAGACACTCAGACAAAAACAAAACAAAAAAAGGTAAATGACGGACAATTTTCATGCCCCCAGTAAATCAGATGGTGATGCTAGACTTAAATTTTATAGATCAACTGACACTCGACTGGCGATATGATCAACATACACCAACCACATACGCTTTCCAGGACACTGTCAGCTGCCTATTTTAGGTTCAGTCAACACAGAAGGCCAGATCAATTATAAAAATCTGCCTTTATGTGGATTTGAACCTGACCTTCAGGCCAACAGGTAAACAACCAGCCACTCAGACACCCCGGCTCTCAGCAATATCTGAAAAATCAACAAGTCCCATGGACATGAATTTTTCAAGTCATTTTCACATACAATGTCACCAAGTGTAAGCAGTCATCACTCATGTCTAACATGATCACCAAATGACTACTATTTCTAATCAGTTTATGACTTTCATCTGTCTCATTGAGAACTGCCTTGTTTGTTTTTCTATCTTCCCATGATATTCTTTGGGTTCTTCTCAAAAGCCATATCTCTGTTGTGAGCTAATGATTTTCACCATGTCTGCTTACTGTTCATGTCTCATGTACATATGGTACACAGGCTCTAAATGGCATTTTAACACTCTTTTCCTTACTGCAACTGACATATTTTTTATTATATATAGTGCATCCTGCATAAAGGTCACTTATGCCATGGCAACTATTGCAGACGAGAAAATCTACACAAAAGAATATATCTAGTATGTGTGAGTATGGTATTCACACACACATCTGGATCACTCAGGGTGATTAGAGTTCATGCATGGTGATGAGATTCTTCCGGTGTGATCGTTTAAGAGAGGGTTTCTTCTTCTTTTTCACATTCACTGGATGTGAACTCCAGCAAAAAGTTCTGGTTATTCGTCCAATGCTGCTATTTGGTCTTGTTCCTCCTGCTTCTTCTTCTTCCTCAGCTATAAACTCCAGTGGAAAGTTCAATATAAAGAGAAAATCCCTACCATGAGTGGAATTAGGAAATATAACGCACAAATAGATCATTATGGTCTTAACAGATTGATGCAGCATGGACTGACAAGAGAATCTGACTGACACTTGACACTCAGTCTGGTATACAATCAAACTGGTACTATCAGAAATGGAACTCTGCACTAGGAGCTGAAGATGGATTAAACAGCACTGACAGGAAAGTCCTGGTTGCTATGAACTCATTGTTCTGAACTCATCTGAAGAAACATGACTACAAGGCAGACAGCCAAGCATGATAACCTTAGCTGTGTGGACAAACTACCAACAAGTGAAGAAAAATAAAAAGACTAACCCTGCTAGCATGGTGTACAGCAAAACTCCAAGACTCCAGATATCACAAGATGCATCGTAGCCCTGGCGTTTCAGTACCTGCATATGACAAATTCCATTTAACAACAAATATATTTTGGAGCAAAGATAAAGTCTATCAACAAAAGGAAGAGACATTTCTAAGGAGTTCAAGACAAACTCTTTAGAGGATGTTGGAAACTAATGCCTGCATTCGTTGGCTGTTTGTAGTTTTACTGGGATATAGTACTAGGAAATGTGTGGAGGTCAACAACAACAAAAAACTAATATTAAACTTACAATTTTAAATTCTAATGTCAAATCAGGACTGTTATTTGTAGTGGAAACATGGACAACAACTAAGGCAATTACAAATAAATTACAAACATTCACTAAAGGGTGCCTGCACAAAATAAAAGGAATTAAATGGTAAGATAGAATCACTAAGGTAGAGCTTTGGGAGAGAACTAAAAAAGTTCCAGTGGATCAAGAGATGAAGAAAAAATGCTAGCGTTGAACAGGACACACACTGAGAAAACCTGAGAACAATATAACTAGAATGTCTTTGCAGTAGTATCCACAGGGGCATAGAAATAAAGCAAGACACACACAAAAACCAGATGGAAAGGGAACAAGAGAATGAAGTTAAAACGATGGGGAGGACATGCCGAGTGTTGCATGTGACAGCGAGTGCATACTACAGCGAAAGACAAAACGATTGGGTGTGAGCTAGCTGATGGCCTATGCTCCATTCGGAGTTAGAAGGCAGAAGAGAAGTTTGCCTGAGGTTTCTAAACATTTGGTGTGCCATACAATTACAGAGATCGAAGCAAAGCAGCCCGATGCAGAAGAATCGAGCAAAGTTATTTCAGAATTACAAACTGTGTGTGCTACCCCTAAACCACAGATGTCATTTCTAAGAACATAACATAATATAAATCTTCCATAAGGACAGATAAACATGTCCCAACATGTCTGCATTCTCAGAATCATGTTTACTCTCATGCTGCTGTCAGTGTCTGTCATTCCAAATGATAAGTGTTCCATTATGCTACAGGGAGGCAGAGGAATCACAGACCATTACCGTGGTCAGCGTGACTAGCAAGACCAGCTGATCATGTTGAGAAGAATCTTCCAAAATAAAGTGCACAAGATTTCCAGACCAACTCTGCCATTACACGCATTTTTCTTCTTAGATACTCAGCTCTCAACCTCTTCATTCCTTTTCTCCTTTGTCGGTATTATCTCTCCATGACTTTTAACATCTTTGTGGACCAGGTCCTTTCAACTAAGTTTTATCCAGGGGCCAAAATTATGAAAATGGGGACTGTCCGGGACCAGAGTCCTGAGCCCCTGCATAGAAAGACAATTCAATTCAATACAATTGGCAGTGATCTGCAGGCCACTTGCTAGGCTGCCAGGAGACTAGCCCTCCTGTAGACTGACGGACCTGACAGTGATAACAGATGACAGTGACATGATTTCAAAACTGACCAACTAACCTAAAATGACAACAGAAGATAGTGGATGACATAATTAGAGGTCTCTTCACATACTGTCTAACAGACGATGGTTATGATTATGCAAACTATCAAACAAACCTCTGGAGCCACAAAGTTTGCTGTGTAACAGGGAGTCATTAGAAGACCATTCTCAGCCCGAAGCTGCTTGGCAAAGCCAAAATCACAGATACGCAAGCTGCCGGGGGAGTAGCTGTCATCAGCATACAAAATGTTGGAAGGTTTCAGATCTCTGTGCACCACCTGTCAGATCAATAAACCAGGGTTAGTCAAGACTTAGATATCAACAATCCTTAAAACAATCCTACAGTGTAATGGTAAAAGAACAAAGAAAAAGTCAATTTGAAAAGAAAAGCTTACAAGAAATGATAAACATGTTGCATTGTGATGTAACGTGTGCATGTTTTTTTTTTAATGTAAAGAATACCATAGATGGACAGAAAAACAAATGAGACAAGCTTCAAAGAAATAGATGAAAACCAAAAACTTATTAGAGAAATGAGACAGAAAGTTCTTAAATGTTATGAAAAATTAAGATGGTAAACTAGATGAAGAAATTAACATCTGATGCAGGAAAGCAAACCAAGTACAGCTAGCTCCAACTCTTACAGAGATAAGAAATCCTAATCAGCACAAAGAAACATCAAATACTAAGCATATTCATTCTCACCCTATGCTACTAATGCCATACATGGTCACTCACAACAAACCAGAAAAGAAAACTGGTAGCCAGGGAAATGAGATGCATGAGAAGGGCAGCAGGAGTGACCAAAAGAGATGAAACCAGGAATGAGGTCATAAAAGAAAAAGTGGCTATCCTCCGAATAACGGTCCCAAATTATCGAGGTCGAAAATATACCCTAACAGGGCCTCAGTCACATGTCAATTGCGGACTTCCGGCGACTTAAATTGCGCACTTCCAGCGCCTTCCGCCATCGCCGAGAGTATCTCCCACGCCGCTATGCGTGGCGTGGATTGGGGCTAAACTAGATGGCTTGGACTCATGAGCAGCAACTACAGCATCTCCTGCAGCTTCCTTCATTTTATTTGCTTGTGAGTCCCAGCCATCTAGTTTAGCCCCAATCCACGTTGTGCGTAGCGGCGTGGGAGATACTCTTGGCGGTGGTGGCATAGTCCCCTGAAGTCCGTAACTGACATGTGACTGAGGCCCTGTTAGGGTATATTTTCGGCCTCGATAATATGGGACCGTTATTCGGAGGATAGCCGAAAAAGTTAACAAAGAAGCAACTCTAAATTACATACAAAGACAACAAATCAAATGGTTTACCCAGCTAGAGAGAATGCCTTGTGACACCAGGCTTACACCAAAAAGAGGAGAGGATCGTAGAGTACAAGGTAGACCAAGAACAATATGGAAAGATTACATCAGAGAATATCTACAACAGCATGATGTATCTATGGTAAAGGTGGCCAGAAGAGAAAGAATATGTAGACACACTCCTGACCTTCCAGAAATTGGTTGCCCACTTAAAAGTATTCTGGAACAAACCCCATCGAGAGAAAAAATGCAAACTAACGGTACAAATCCAGACAAACGTGAAAGGGATATTTGACAAGAAAGAGCAAAATAGTGTACAATGCAGAATGGCCACCCTCAGTTATATTGATGAAGAATACCCACAAGAACAATGGGTCAGTGTCTATACAGATGGGTCCACAGAAAGTGCAGTTAGAAATGGTGGTGGTGCTGGAGTGTACATTGAATTCCCAGATGGTACTAGGGATAAGTCCAGCGTACCAACTGGGAAGTACTGCCATAACTATGAAGCAGAAACTCAAGCTATCAAGATAGCAACAGAGAAACTTCTAAATACCAAACTTGGCTCACAGTATGTGGTAATGCTGACAGATGTTAAATCAGTACTTGAAGCACTCCAGTCTAGGAAACTACTAGAATTGCAAATACTGCTGACACAACTCAGCGTTCAGCGAAGAGTCGTAATGCAGTGGATACCGTCTCATTGTGGAGTGCCTGGTAATGAGAAAGCTGATCAACTGGCAGGAGAAGGTGCGACGAAAGAGCAGCCGGATGTACCAGTCACATACCACCAAAAGAAAAGAATCATTAAATCGATCAGGAAACCACCAGCCCCAGCACAAGACGACTATTTTATTATGGATAGACCAGAACAAGTCATTATCCCCTGCCTCAGAACAGGGCACAACCGATTACGTAACCACATGTACACAAAATTAAAGATAGGTGTATCAGCCATGTGCACCTGTGGAAATGTGCCCCAGACAGCAGAGCATGTACTCCAGGACTGCACCGAATTTGACACATTAAGGCAAACCTTTTGGCCAGAAAGAACAACAGTGGAACGTAAACTCTATGGACCACTGAATGAACTAACAACGACAGTGAAATTTATACAAGAGACAAAACTGCTGATATAGACAACTTATTTCAGGCGAACGAAAGAAGAAGAAGAAGAGAAAGAATCAGAATCTTACATCTCCCTTGACACCGAGAGCAGTAAAAGAGGAATTAAAGAAGACTTGAAAAACTTAGTGAGAACTGGTAAACTCTGCAGAATAGGAAACAAGGAGAAGACAAAGAGATAAATACTTGGATGGTTTGACCATGGGGCAGGACAAGAACGCAGACTTGACCTGTGAGTCTGCGAGATGGAGAACTATGAGAGCCCATGCTAGCCAGTAAGCCAAATGATATTTTGTGGTATTCTTTCTTTTCATACAGTTATTTATTTTTTTTAAAACACTTTCATTCCAACATTAGCTACTCAGAAAAGGTAACTAGGTTCTTTTCACTCTTCTTCGTTCACCATTAAAAAAAGTGCTGTCAGTAGGTTAAGTTTTACTTTACAGCTAGTCTGTGATATCTGCATATTTTGGCCCAGCACACCCAATTTCAGCACCCCTTCAATCACTCTCCTTTTACTGCATGTATTTTACGAAGGAATGGGTCTATTAATTGTTTTCCTCACCACAAATAATTAGGCCACAAAACCCACATCGAGAGACAGTAACATGAAAAAAGCTGAAATGCCACCGTACCCCATTGGCATGCAAGTATTCTACTGTTTTGGCTATTATCTGCAAAACACTGCTGGCCTCACGTTCCGAGAAAAACTTCTGTCGTAGTATTTTGTCCAGCAATTCTCCCCCTTGCATCAGTTCCGTGACCAGGTACACCTTGCTCCCATTATCAAACACCTGGCAAACAATGAAAAATATAACACATTAATATGGCAGAAATTTAATACCTTAAAAAGGCACGCATATAACAAATAACCTGGCTGTTATCAATATTTACTGCTCTGATACAAACCACCACCCAAAAAAGCATGTTGTAAAATGCTATCAATCAGGGGTTTGCTAAAATCGAATTTGTGGGCCAAACGGTTTGGATATCAAAGCTTAGCTGTAAATCACAACATAGTTCCTCACATTTTGTGACATTAACATCACATTATCAGTTGCTGGGAAGGCTAAGCCATGTGACAGATGCTTGAAGAAGTCTGATGTTTCAGTCAAAAGGCACAAATATGCACTTATATTCTCAGGTGACAAAGGAAAAGTGAAGATATTAGCAGTTCAAATGATGACATTTTTAATGCCTTGACAATAGACTGTCAATATTCTTCTCTCACTATTTCCACCCATCTCTCTCTCCAAAAATATATTGATATGTCACATGCTCAAGTGTTTCTTTTTTCATGTAGTCAAAACTATTATGGCTGCTTCTTTCTGATGTTTATAAGTTGTCCTAGCCTCTTTCAAAACATTAATCTTACTCATTTTGGCTATCCAAGAAATGTTAAGCAATCTTCCGTAAAACCACACCTCTGAGGCCTGGGGGGATTTTTTTGGGCTTACTTACTAATTATCCTATATTGCCTGTCATATATTATTACAAGTGATTCAATGTAAAATGCAAGAATTCCTTTTGTAAACGTCAAATGAAGTTTTTGTTGGTCCTATTCTGATGGGTGGGAGCTGCCGTGGTGTAGTTACTAGACATTCACCTGCGGATCCAAAGATTGTAGGTTCAAATCCAGATAGTGCTGGACTTTTTTTTTTAATGACCTTGGCTCCCAGGCCGACCCAGCCTTAAATAGGTACCAGGTAGAAAGTCCTGGCCTGAGGTAAAGGTGGTCAGCTTGATGCTGATCATATCAGCCACCAAGTGCTGATTGGTCTAAAAAATATAGGTCTAGCCCTACATGCCCAACACACACGAAGGCATGGGAAAAGGTCCTTTACTTTATTCTGATAGTTAGTGCCGTGAGATATCATCGATCAAATGTTACCCAAGTGTCCAGATACAAGCACATTGCATATCTCGACTTTCATGACATACTGTGTGTGTGATTGTGTGTGAGTGAGTGTGTGAGAGAGTGTGTGAGTGGATGTGTGTGAGTGAGTGAGTGAGTGGATGTGTGTGAGTGAGTGAGTGTGAGTGTAAGTGAGTGAGTGTGTGAGTGAGTGGTGGGGCAAGGTGTGTGTATGTCAGAGGGCGAACCACCCCCAAATGCATGTTGTTAAATGCGATCAATTAGGGGTTTGCTGAAATCGAATTGGTGGGCTAAAAGGTATGGATAACAAAGCTTAGCTGTAAATCACAACAGTCAACCACCCCTTTTAAGGGTGAACACTTACGAAGAAGATGTCTCACAGTCGTGCAAATGATGCGACATGAAACTTTAAAACTCGATGCAAAGGAGGAGGTGTGACTTACATCTCTGAGGGTGATCACATTTGGATGATGCCCAAATCTCAACAGAATCTCCACCTCTTCTGAAGGGTCTCTTTTATCTTTATCCATTATCTGCAAATAACAAAATAAAATGGTGGTGAAAAAACACACACATATTACAAATTAAAAGTTCCCAACCAGACAACAGGTCAAGGTTCTCAAACAGACAGTAGGTGCTATCCTTGTAAACATATTACAGTAAAATTCTTTTAACAAAAAGAAGAAAAAAAAATTGCTTAAGATGAACATTTGGTTAATGTGAACAAAAATTCCTCAGAAATTGTGTTAATAAGGTTCATGATACATAGAATTCATAATCAGTCAGTCGCTCTCTCTCTCTCTCTCTCTCTATCTTCTTACATGACAATGTTGCAACAAGCACACATATAAAGCCATTACCTTGACTGCATAGCTGTGTCCAGAGGCCTTATGAATGCATCGCTTACAGACAGAATATGAGCCACTGCCAATGTCCTTAAACAAGAGAAGATAAACGTTAATGAAAACTGAGTCATTCACAACTTATCCAGCAACATCATCTCTATATACAGTTTAGAATCATAAGGTGCATTACAGACAAGGTCAATGGATAATGGCGAATCTTTGACACTAACAAGGTTGCGTGACATGTGAGTAAAGCCTGGTAAAGGACGTCTATGCCACCTTTGTGGTAAGAGATAGGAGACACTATAACCAGCTCCTTAAGAGAGCAATCAGCAGAAGTACCTCAGAGTGGCGGCTGCATTGGAGGACTAAACATGCATAGGTATACTCACTATGCAGGGACGTCAACTGTGATAACATAAATGCATTATAGAGGCTACATATTCAGCAGAACTTCAAGCTGCAGATTGCTTGTGAGTTCTGAGGCACTTTAGGTAGTGGTAGTGTGTGTGGATGGGGGAAGGCGTCAGGGTTAAGGACTGGCCCTTAATAAGAATGTCATAAAAAACAATTAAGGGTGTGCTAGGATTGGATGAGCTGGGCCGAAAGGCAAAAATATTGCAGCCTAGTTGTAAACCACAACACAATATGTCAAGTGCCTGTTCAAGGGTGAAAGCAGATGAAAAAAACCCAGCAGAGAAGCTGGATTTCGTAAGCACTATCACCATGTAGCAGGTCCTTTGCCTAACATCTTTCACATCAAAGGCGGCTGGACAAACACTTGGTCTCTTGTCAATTCAAATGTTTCAAGGTAAAAATATGATTGTGTCCACTTGCTGCTTGACCCCATCTCTTCTTACAACAAAAAAAAAAAAACTATTACTGTTCTCTCCAAACAACTGAAACTTTTAATATAGTCTAGGAAATGAAGTATTAAGATATAATGCACTTATGACACAGTTTTCTTCAATGCTGAGATCCTGTAGAATTTCAGCACTATCCTTTTTTTTTTTTTTAAATCCATGTTTTCATTAAACAATCTTTTTGTAAACTTTGAAGTTTTCCAATTTTCTTCTTTAGTGATTGGCAGTCCATGAATCCCATCCATGCTACCACAGGAAAGATGCACAATCTCATAACTGTTACTGTAGCTGTTTACTGAAGTTGTTTCCTGTGTGGGTTCCATGGCCAGATTGGGGGAAGGGATTGAGGAGGCAGACCCTTAACTCCCTAACCAGCATGTCTTAAACAGTAACTAATTAAGGGTTGGCTGAAATCAGACATGTTGTGCTGAAATGTGCAAACATCACAGCCTGGATATAAATTAGAACACGATGTACCAACCGTCCTATTAAAGGTGACACAAAAGAAGAAGAAGCTGTTGCATTTTAATGCTATATGTAACCTTCTTTCTGCCAACAAAGACACAAGTTACAGTCCTTACCTCTCTTATCTCATAGTCATCACTAAAGGATGATGTTTTGACACCTGGAAGCTGTAGAGAAAGAACACAATACATGAATTTTACAAAAGTCATCACCATGTTATGAAAACAATACATGAATGTTGCAAAAGTCATCACCATGTCATGAACACAATACATGAATGTTGCAAATGTCATCACCTTGTCATGCACAACAAATGTTGCAAAAGTCATACCATGTCCTTGACCACAATACATATGTCAAAAGTCATCACTGTCATGAAGGAATGAATGTTTTGCAAAAGTCATCAGCATGCCAGAGAAACACATAGTGAACCCTGCCGGTTAAAATGGACGCTAGAATGTTAGCGGAGGCAAAGTTTTTTGCATCTGCCGGACGGTGGCCGAAGTATGCTCCATTTGTAGACAATACAGTTTCGAAGTTGAATGCAAAAGTCAGCTGCGGATTGCATTTGGAATGAACGACAATGACCAACGTGGTGTGAATTGTAGATTCAAAAAATGCGCGATGCCGGTCGTGCATGTTGGCGGGACCCGTAAAAAATGATCGCCCGGGCAAACTGCTGATCTGTTGCGACAAGTTCTGCTACATCAATGATGAACTACATTTCTAAATGTTGCACTGTTTGTCATTAGCACTTCGGATGGCTACCATACGTTAATGAAGTGTTGCTAGAGTCTGAGACACCATCTGTCATCTTTCACAAGGGGACTGTGACTGTTGCAAAAGTCATCACTTTTTGTTTTTCGCTGGCATGTCATGAACCCAATTGCATGAATGTTGCAAAGACTACCAGACACCCATGTCAGAACACAACACATGAATGTTGCAAAAGTCATCACCATGTAATGAACACAATACATGAATGTTGCAAAAGTCATCACCATGTCATGAACACAATACATAAATGTTGCAAAAGTCATCACCATGTCATGAACACAATACATGAATGTTGCAAAAGTCATCACAATGTCATGAACACAATACATGAATGAATGTTGCAAAAGTCATCACCATGTCATGAACACAATACATGAATGTTGCAAAAGTCATCACCATGCCATGAACACAAAACATGAATGTTGCAAAAGTCATCACCATGTCATGAACACATTACATGAATGTTGCAAAAGTCATCACCATGCCATGAACACAAAACATGAATGTTGCAAAAGTCTTCACCATGTCATGAACACAATACATGAATGTTGCAAAAGTCATCACCATGTCATGAACACAATAAATGAATGTTGCAACAGCACTATGATATCAAAAATATGTTTTCTGTTCATGTGTTCCATCACAGTGACATACATTTTAAAACCCGACCTGGGCTACCAGACTGAAACAGCATACAATGTGTACCAGGAAATGTCCTGGAACATAATAATCGACTCTCTGGTATTGATATCACCCAACAAATGCAAAATCTGTCCACAGAATATGGAACCAGTGTTAAATCAACATAACTTGACAGGGAATAGGTAGTTCACTTTTTTTAAAAACAATAAATGAAATCATAAATAAATCATCATACTTTGGCAAGACTGTTGTTATTAAGGCGTTCAGGTGGAGGAGGACTTTCACTTTCAAGTAATGCTGGTGCGATGAAGCTAAATCCTCTGAAGAGTTCATGAGCTGTAGCACTTGGAGGTATCCCAGGAGAATCTGTCTCAAAGAAGATACACATATCAGAGAAATACCTAGAGGTATTTCAAGCAGCATCTTGTTATAGAAATACAGATGTGTTAGCAAGCCAAACAAGCTACTGAAGTCAGTCAGTCTCTCACCCCCGACTCTCTCTCTCTCTCTCTCTCTCTCTCTCTCACAGCACACACACACAAAAACACATCCTGAAGTTTGTCCTTCCTGCCCATGTGCATTCATGTACTGGGCAGAACAGACAGATGAACATACTTCATGACTGTCATATTTCAATAAACTGAACGTAGGCCCACAGAGATATCAATACAAACCTATTTGCAAGTCCCATTATAGATAGCAGGATACATGACAATACCAGGTTTCTTGTGTAGATATTCCTAGAATGGTGAATAAGAAAAGGAAGAGGAGGAGAGAAAAGAAAATGTGAATCAAAGAAGATAAGAAGCAGAGGAAAAGATAAGGGGAAAAAAAAAGAGAGGAAAGAGAAAAATAATAAGAGACAGAATAAGAAGATGAAGAAGAAGATACATTTTAAAAACAATACACACGTACAAAACCATCTGATAGATTAAAGCTTTTACAAGTTGTAAACTTCAGTAGAAAGTAAGTTCTGGTTGTTTGTCCATTTCTGGACTTTTGCCTTGCTCCAGAAAATGAGTTTTGCAGGCATATCCATTTTACAGATCTTGCTATCTTTATGAAAACTGGTGATTTCTTGCCCCTCAGGCAGATCCACTCTGACTCTGAAGGAAAATACCCCTAACCTTAAAAAGCCGACTTTTATTACATGCTTATCAGGGGGATCTATTCTGTTGTTGTCCTAAAATAGGGTCCTATCTACAGCACACATGTTAACTGGTTGCCAACCTGGCTCGGTGATATCACAGGATCTGGAGATGACCCTGCACCTTCATGACTGACAGAGAGAACTAACCTTTCGGAGTTTTGGAGGTAAATTCTTTATCAAAGTAGAATGCATCATCCGTCTGTACAACAGCAGGTTTGAACGGAGGCTGTATCTCCCGTTTTAGAAGCTTGTTCCAATTGATTGTGGCGAAAAATGGGTGTCGTTTCAGCTCCTCTACACCATGCACACCAGATCCTGTAAAAGTAATATTAAAGCAGCAAGAGAACAATAAGAAAACTATCACATTTCACATTTGTATCTATTTTTCTTTTCTTTAATGTTTTATGTTAACAGGCATAGATAGCAAGAAGTGGCAATTTATCAGCTCAGTACACCAAGTTAACAGAAATGCACACTCTGCGCATGCAAACACAGGCATACAGATCTGGAGAATACAATAATGGAGGTACATTCGTTGGGAAGGATCGACATATGGCAGCATCCAAAGCAGCATATCTGGCTTGTTATAGAGAGCAATTGGACATCTGCTGACTGCCAACGAATGGCTGTGTTAATGTTTCGTGGCTGTAATTTTTCTTTTGGATGGTTGGGATCTCCTTTCATGAACTGGTTATTGCTATGGCCATGAACAGAGAGGAATACCAAGACTGGAAAGGGTTGGGGAATATAAAATTATGTCCATAACAATTTACAGAGTTTCAGAATTGTTATTTTTTACTGGAAAGGTTTTAGAACGTAGTCTATTCTTCTATTGTCCTACTGCTTGTGCCATGAGGTTTCGCGGAGAGGAGTGAGATGTAGTTTTCTGTCTTCTCCTAGTAGTGTATCTTGTGTTAACATCATACCGCATTTCTGTAGTGTCTCTTTTACCCCGTCCACCTATATCTTTTCTAGGTTGACCACTTGCTTTGTAGCCTGCTGTTCTTATGTAGCACACTCTGGCTGATTGTGTTCCATTCTGATCAGATGATTTAGAACTGAGTACTTCACCTATAACATTTCTTTTACTCACCTAATCTGTTGGCAGGGTTGCGTTTAAACAAGGCTCGAAGCAGACTTTGTGCCTCTAGGCTAAGGAAAGGTGGCATGCCAAGTTTTGCCCTAGTAAGAAGAAAGAAAGAAATCTGTAGCACTTGTTAACTTAAGCTTTATATCATAATGCTTAGAATGGATGTGTTGCTGACCACATCATCATCATCATGTAGCAGGTCCTTTGCGGAACGTCACTTTCATCACGGTTTGCCTGAAAGAAACTTGGCCTCTCGTCAGCTCTTCTGCCTCTTGCCCTTTCATACCCAAGGAGTCACTTACATCCTGTGCCCATCTTTATACTGGTCAGCACCTACCCCTTTTTTCTGGCACCATGGATTCTGCTACTTTTTTCCCAAACCGTTATGGCACTATGGATTACAGGGCTGACATCAAGTGGTTCTTCTTGTCTGCCATCACCCAATGAAGCACAGGCTCAGCCAACTCACATTAAGCTTTCTGTAGATCTGTTAAAAGCTGGTTGGATTCATCAGTCCATTGTCTACAGGATGATATAGCCAGCCTTAGGCCAAGTCTTGTATCACAGACCCTGGTTCAACACTTGGTAAGGCACTGGGTATTTTGCAGAAAAAAAAATTAAAATATTAACATGCAAAAGTCTTGACGAATCGACTAGCTAAGTGGCCTTAAATCCTTAAGCTCATGCCCCTCCCCCTCCAATAACACTGCCGTAAAAGTGTTAAATCACAAGCAGTGAAGATCATTTTTTTTTCCAGACACATAACAGCTTAACATCAAGGCCACTTACTTCAGTATTTGTGTCATTGTCTCCTTCCTGTTAGCGCCTTGGAAAGGCAAAGCTCCCGTTAGCATTTCAAACTGTGAAACAAAGCAAACCAAATAATGACATGTACACAGACTGACGGTGACACTAATTAACAAAACCCAGAGTGACAAACATTTAAGAATAGTTACTGAAGTACTGAAACTCTCAGCTTAGAGGTCAGAATATGTTTAATAATTTCATGATTCTCAAGTACTAGGGTTAAATTTCTATGATGGATTGACTTTCACCAAGGTAGAGATTTGAGGCCTCACCAAGTAATACTCTCAAACACAGCAGTGGGTAAACAATAGGCAACTTTAATTGTGGAGACAGAAAAACGATGACCTGACAAATGTAAGTACTAAGGACATATAAACTGTTGCTGCACATGCACCAGTTTCGTCAGTATTTTTATAGCTGTTTAATTTTAAAGTGTTTTTTAGCCATGTGGTAAGTAGCTATGCTTCCAAACTGTGACAAATGGAAATCAGTGATAGAGGGGGAGAGGGAGAAATACCAATAAAATTAAGCTGGACAGTCTAAGATGGTGGCATAGAGGAATATCATCAACAGAATTTATCCAGACCACCAGGGACCTAAATATACCAAGAGATATGAATATCACTGTAATTCAGCAAGGCCCATGATGATGGGAACAGCGGCTATCCTCCGAATAATGGTCCTAAACTATTGAGGCCGAAAATATACCCTAACAGGGCCTTAGTCATATGTCAATTGCGGACTATACCACCCTAAAGGCTTTGAATGCTAAAGAAGAAGCTAAAATTAACAATTCTTACATTTCTGTAAACATTATTCCAACATCTAGCCACAAACTATGACTTCTGCGTTGGAGTTGTAATGGAAAAGCCACGCCAATATTGATGACAAAAACTTATAACGTAACAGTTATAATGCAATAAACATGGATAATGCAACAAGATGGCCAAGAAAAATCAATACAGAAATAAAGTGATAAACAATGATGGAAAATGGATTTTCATAAATTACATGGCCAGTCTCTCTTTCTCTCACAAACACACTTTCATAAAATATTGCCTAAAACAAGGATAATGAGCCAGAAAACCGAAGCAAAAACAGATAATTGCAGAAATTTAATGATGGCTGCAAAAAACTGACACATAAAAAATAAATAATAAATTAGGAAACCACAAACAAAAAAATTATACATTTGCAGATTTATAAAAGTTGAAACAAATTAGAAAATTAAAAACATTTATAATAACTGCCAATTTGAATTCTGATCAGACCAATTGTTAATTTTTGTGTAAACCACAAACAGCAACAATTAATTTCATGCTGGGGATGCAGTACAGTTTGACAATGTCTTTCCAGCCCACGTCTCTGAGTAATCCATGTCTTCACCTTTTCTGCTCAGATTTCAGTGTTATTTGCCCATGACTCAGTGTTATTAGTCTATGTTTTAGTGTTATCTACTCACGTCTCTGTGTTATCTGCCTATGCTAAGTGTTATCTTGCCATGTCTCAGTGTTATTTACACGTCTTAATGTTGTTTTTCTGTGTCTTAGTGTTATCTACCCAAGTCTCTGTGTTATATGCTGATGTCTCAGTGTTATCTGCCCATGCCTCAGTGTTATCTGCCCATGGCTCAGGGTTATCTGCCCATGCCTCAGTGTTATCTGCCTATGCCTCAGTGTTATCTGCCCATGTCTCAGTGTTATCTGCCCATGTCTCAGTGTTACTGCCCATGCCTCAGTGTTATCTGCCGATGTCTCAGTGTTTTCTGCCCATGTCTCAGTTTTATCTGCCGATGTCTTCATATTTGCCCACATCCCCATGTTATTTTTCCACTCCCAGTGCTGCTGGTGCTTTATGTGAATGAGTAGGGTCAACGCAGTGTATGCCAGTGTTGCTGTGGTTGAACATGAACAGCGGATGTCTCTCAGATAGGGACGGAGTCCTACAACCAGAGCTGGTACAACAAAAGCATGAGCTGTCTCACAGATAGGGGACGCAAGTGTCCCATGCCCAGAACTGGAAGTTTGGTTTTGGTTTGTGTCATCACACACAAACATATCCACAAGTGCCTCATCACACACAAACATATCCACAAGTGCTTCATCACACACAAATATATCCACAAGTGCTTCATCACACACAAACATATCCACAAGTGCTGCTGACTTCTTCCACAAATCATCTGGGCAGTCTGTTAACCACAAATCATCCGGGCAGTCAGTTAACTGAGAATGTGTGAGCGCTGGTCATGTGTAATGTGGATCTGGTTTGGTTTGCATTCACCTGCTGTGAATCGGGCAGAAGGTCCCTGATTGTTCTTCCATTCTGACTTTGTGTCAGGACCTGAGTTTTGTGTTCATGACATGGTGATGACTTTATTGTGCAGTATGTTGTTCACTGCCCCTCAGGTAGATATACTCCAGCTTTAAAGGAAAAGGTGAATGGGAAAAGAGAAGAAGAAATAAATAAAAAAGGAAAGAAAAGGTAGATAAAGAAGGATACACATGCCTAAACATAATATTCCTAAATAAACATAAGAAAACACATAAACTCACCATAAGCACCCCATATGACCACCAATCTGCAGGCGTCCCATGACCTTTCCTATTGACCACCTCGGGGGCCATGTACTCCACTGTACCACAAAAGGAATAGGTCTTGTTCTCCTCAAATATGGACTCTTTGCTCAATCCAAAATCTGTTAACTTGATGTGGCCCTCTGTATCTAGAAGAATGCTGGTATATGGTACATAAAAATAGCATTAAATACCCACAATAACAGCACTTACAAATTATTCAATAACATTTCTCTCACTGAAATATTATGTTGGTACCTTTCCATCTTTCCAGACAATGGTGTTCTACTGTGCTAAGGGGAGGCATGTGAATCACAGCCCATGGTGATGGAGAGTGTGACCAACAAGAACAGGCCCACGTTCAGAAAAGTTCACTACAGTTAGAGCATGGAATTTCAGGACCATTGCTGCTATCACATGTATTTAGTAAGCTTCTTTTCAGACCCTCAGCTTTTAATCTATATGCAATCATGTTCTTCCTTTTTTCACATTCCCTTCCTGATTTTTCTCCTCCAAGCAACAAGGTCCATGACATCTGGTTACCTCAAATCCACCTCAATACCTGTATCCCTTCTGTCCCAGTTATACACATCTTTATATCATAGTAGAGGCAGACATCGACATCAGCAACTCAACTGTAATTCATTACAGAGCAGTGGTTCACAGCCTGCCTAATGCCGAGACCCTTTAATATAGTTCCTCATGTTGTGGCGACCCACTGCTATACAGGATGTCGTTAGGGACTCTACCATCCTCCACTCTCCAAGTCTGACCCAGCCATCTGAGTTTTCAGAGACTAAGCATTGAGAAAACTGTTGTGATAGCTTGCTCTTTGCAATACTTCACTGTTTGTGATCTAGCCATGTCAACTAATGCCAAGTATTCTTCTGTAAACATTGAATGTGAAAGCTATTAAGACTGAAGTTTTACACAATATAAATTGGAAGATAAAAGTAATCTGGCTAGTATTTCACTTTTTACAAATAGTAAAATAAAGGTAATCTAAGTGCAGTAGTGTGCCATACATAATGTTCGGATAATGGTTATTACAATGCAGTATTACACTATCTGTAAATGGTATAAGGGTAATCTTGCCGCATAATTACACTACGAATAAACAGATAAAGGTAATCTCACTACAGTATTCTTCTTATAGTCCAGACGAATGTATGCCCACATTATTTCGTCTGACGTATGGCTAATCATTTCTGACACATATGTTTCTCTATGTGGTGAGGCTAAACTGTATTATCCTCCTCCTTGATCTAACCCTCCAGTTACATAAATACTTCAGCATTTTATACACTGCATTATTACATAAAGCATAGATGGTTTCCAAGAGTGAATTTATTTCCCAAGGAACTAATTATCTCACTGACTCTGAAACACTTCCAACAAAAAGCCAAATACAATTAAACATGTGATGGAACTCACTTCTCTGGCTTCAAATCTCGGTAGACAATCCCCAAACCGTGTAAGTGGTCAAGGGCCAAGGCCAACTCTGCCAGGTAGAACTTGACATCTTCTTCTGTAAACATTACCTGCAGATTTGGAGAAAAAAAAAATTAATATATTAAATATAACATTTTAAAACATGTGGCAGAATCAATTATGTTGACGTTTTTTAAAACAGGAAGGGCAAACGAAAATAATTAACTCTATTTTCAAAGTGTCACAAACTGGGCTTGTGAGTTTATCAAATGCACATGGCTCTCTTATTTTCAGCCCCTTCAAGAGCTAAATATACATGACTCTCTCTTACATTTAGCCCCTTCCATGGCTGTCTCTCTTACATTTGGCCTCTTCAAGAACTGAACATACATGAATCTCTCTTACATTTAGCCCCTTCAATGGCTGGCTCTCTTACATTTAGCCCCTTCAATGGCTGGCTCTCTTACATTTAGCCCTTTCAATGGCTGGCTCTCTTACATGTAGCCCCTTCAATGGTTGGCTCTCTTACATTTAGCCTTTTCAAGAACTGAACATACACGAATCTCTCTTACATTTAGCCCCTTCAATGGTTGGCTCTCTTACATTTGGCCTCTTCAAGAACTGAACACATATGAATCTCATATTCAGCCTCTTTAACGGTTTCACATTCATGGCTCACCTACATTTGGCACCTTGAAGAGCTGACCAAACATGGTTCTTTTACTTTTAGCCCCTCCATGAGCTGAACTACATGGCCCTTTCATATCTGGCCCCTTCAATTGTCAAACTTACCTGGCTCTCTAACTTTTGACAACTTTAACCGTTAAACATAGTTGAGTCCCTACAACAACTCTTTAACATAAGTTGTTTTTTTGGGTGGGGGGTGGGCATCTCACTGATACCAGGTTGTAGCCCAATGTCATGGTTTTCTGTATTTGTCTTGCACTTCTCAGGTGGCTCTAGTGACGGATTTGTTCATCTTTTTTTTGCAGGTTTCATCTACACCATTTATTTGTTCATCTATCTTGCTCTTCCTGTCGCCTTCCTCCCAGAAGTTCTAATGTTAAGTCTCATATGCAGTCTGGTCTGGCTGCATTCTCACTATTTGGCTGAACCACTTAATTCTGTCTGTCAATATAATCCAGACATGGTCTTATTCCAACTTTCTCTCTAATGCTGTTATTTACATATTACGCAAGTTAAATTCATTCTGCTGTAAGCACAATATGAATGCAAAACAAAAAAAAAAGATGCTTTATCCCTGACACACACTTGAGCACACATCGACACGCACACACCTGCACCCCCACATACACGTCTAGAATTTCAGATTGCATTTTTGCTATTTATAAACATTTTTTACGAAAGATATACCACCTTATAGATAATTAGAAGTGATGTTTAACAAATGATGAAGTTACTGTACAACTTCCTGCACTTGTGCTGGTTACGATTACTATAATATGAACAGTGAAGTTCATACGAGAGACAACATTGAAGATATAGATAATCTTTTTCAAGCAAACGAAAGAAGAAGAAGAACTACAAGATGTAAACAAATAGGAATGCCAGCTTTTGCCAAAACATGATATTCTAAGGCCCTTCATTATAGAACAGTAAGATTTTTGGGGTATGTTATTGAAAACTTAGTGACAAATGTGAAATAAGCAAGAGGATGAATAAGATAAAAACTGTGTGCTGTGGTATAATTGCAAACGTGGCATATATTATGGGATTGGGTGCTATGGTATAACTGTAAACTTGGCATCAATTATGGGACTGAGTGCTATGGTATAACTGTAAACTTGGCATCAATTATGGGATTGGGTGCTATGGTATAACTGTAAACTTGGCATCAATTATGGGATTGGGTGCTATGGTATAACTGTAAACTTGGCATCAATTACGGGACCGGGTGCTATGGTATAACTGTAAACTTGGCATCGATTACGGGACTGGGTGCTATGGTATAACTGTAAACTTGGCATCAATTATGGGACTGGGTGCTATGGTATAACTGTAAACTTGGCATCAATTATGGGACTGAGTGCTATAGTATAACTGTAAACTTGACATCAATTATGGGATTGGGTGCTATGGTATAACTGTAAACTTGGCATCAATTATGGGATTGGGTGCTATGGTATAACTGTAAACTTGGCATCAATTATGGGATTGGGTGCTATGGTATAACTGTGAACTCGACATCGATTACGGGACTGGGTGCATCAATTATGGGATTGGGTGCTATGGTATAACTGTAAACTCGACATCGATTACAGGACTAGGTGTTATGGTAAAGCTGTAAACTTGGCATCAATTATGGGACTGGGTACTAAGGTATAATAGGTCCTAAGATTACAATTATACCACTGAACCCAGTTACGTTATTTATCCCCCTGCTCTATGGTATAACTATAAATAAACTTGGGTTCCGGGCCCCACCTTTTGGGGGGGGGGGGGGGGAATAAACCCACTACTCCTCAGCGAGCATGTAAAAGGCGAACAATTAGGAGTTTGCTGAAAACAGATACTCAGGGTTAAAAGATGCATATATCATAGCATAGCTGTAAACAACAACAAAGTGTCCCTACTACCCTTTTAAGGGTGAAGGAAGAAGAAGAAGAAGAAAATTAAGAAGAGCCAAGGAATTAATAGAAAGGTATGGATATCACATCCTAGCTGTAAACTACAACACAATGTACCAATTACCCTTTTAAGGATGAAGGAAGAAGAAAAAGAAAATAAGATTTAAGAAGTGCACAAAATGGATAATATCACTTCATGTGTTATGGTATAATTATAAATTTCAGACAAAGAAAGCTGGTTATTCACATCAGAAGTAGACTATCCCCATTCCTTAGAAAAATCATGAGAAAGAGTTAACCTGATTATGCCATGACAATGGGGAAGTTGCAGAGCAAAAGATAAAAATACTGCTATCCAGCTATGAAATATTAGATTTCACATATTCTAGGCACACCATGTGGGTTCCTGGGCCCCTACTAGATTTTAAAAAATAATAATAAAAAAAGACCCACTGCAACTATAACAAGCATGTCATAAAAAGCGATTCAATAGGAGTGTTACACCTGAAGAGGGAGTGTACCTGCCTGATAGATGAGGAACCAACAGTCTGCATATCAAGACTAAACTCCAGAAGTAGAAAAACAATCATGAATTCCCACTGGAGTTTACAGCCGGTGAACAAAAAGAACAAGAAAAAAAAAAAAACACTGATCACTGCCTTGGCAGGCAAGCCCACTAATGGCAACATTGTTAGTACAAACAACAAAACAGAACATGAAAAACACAAAGCAATAAGTTACCTCCTTAGATAATCTGGTGAATAAATCCCCTCCTCTAAGAAAGCCCAAAATCAGGTATAGCTTGCCCTCTGTTTGAAATGCTGTCAGGGGGTAGAAATGTCAAGTGCAACTAAAATGCAGAACAATTTGTATCTTATCCAGTAAAAAAAAAAAAATTTTCTTCATTCTTCTTCTGCATTGACCCTTAATAAGATGGTAGGCTGACTGTGTTGTGGTTTACAGCTAGGCTGCAATATCTGTGCTGTTTGGTCCAACATTTCTATAACCTCCTAATTTGCTGCCTTTTACAACATGCATGTGAGGGGTCAGTGGGTATATTCTCTCTTTCCCAAACTGAGGCATCAGAACCCATACAGAGGCTTTAGGATTCAAAACTCAAACAAGTATCAACAAGCCTACACACAGCTTGGTGCAAACTGGTTGATAGCTACACCCTATTGAGAAATGAACTGCAGAAGACAAGAATCTTTTAAGGCCATGAGATTGATTGGGTATATGATGGCAAATCATACATGTTTAGACCAACTGATCCTACAGTGATGTGATGTACCACTTTACTTCTCAGGAAATATTGCAGTTTCGGTTTTATTTTGTTAGTTGTATTTCAGGCAGCCTGTTATATTTAATGCAGAGTCTGAAGATTATTACTAGTTCTCGGCAGAGGAAACTTGACAATATTCATCTGCTCCTGCTAAGATATTCTGCCTATATGTCTACAAAATCACATTTCAAGATCCTCAGTGTCACTCACACAATGTTTATTGTCCACGCTCCAGCTCATGCAGTAACAAACAATAACGGTAATTTTTCATTCAAATGGAATACTCGGCAGACAGGGCTGAATCATACTTTGAGGATTTCTACAACTAAAACTGCTACAGGTTGCTGCAATTTAAACTGTTACAAATTTAAGTGCTACAGTTGTCTACAATTAAAATGGCTACAGTCTGCAATAATTAAAACAGCTACAGAGTGCTACAACTAAAACAGCTAGTCTGCTACAAATAAAACTGCTATAGTCTGCTAAAACTATAACTGTTGATCTGTTACAGCTAAACTGCTAGTCTGCTACAACTAAAATTGCTAGTCTGCTACAACTAAAACTGCTAGTCTGCTACAACTAAGACTGCTACAACTAAGACTGCTAGTCTGCAATTATAAAAACTGCTACAACTAAAACAGCTAGTCTGCTACAATTAAAATAGCTACAAATAGAACTGATAGTCAGCTAGAATTAAAACTGCTTCAACTAAAACTGCTAGAGCCTACTACAAATAAAACTGCTTAAAGTTGGGAGTCCATAACCCCTACAAGTGGATCAAAGATTTGTTTTTTGCTAACACTGTGGAGGATTTTTATTACTTACTAGGTTGTTTTACTATGACCATTTCTAATCTCTTTCTTATGTGATAATGCTATGTGATATTGCACTGCTGTTTAAAGCATAAATTAGAATCACTCCTGGCAGATACATACCATAGTGAAGTCGCACTATAAATGGGTGGTTTACGTCTGCCAGTATGTCTCTCTCCATCTTTGTTCTCTGACGATCACGTACTGAAATAAAATTATTTAACATAAACATATATGGATCTGTATGACTTTTTGTTCAAAAGGTGCATTATTTACCATTCATTATCAATAATTTCTGCTATATATCACATACTTTAAAATATTCTTTGATGATCCTTCCCATGTAAACAGAAAGATATGCTGGTCAATTTAACACTATCTTGAGAGATATGACTGTATGTGTTGTGTATATCAGCTACAAGGATTTGTTTTTGTGTTTCACTGTATGTTCATATAATTCTGAAGTATGCATCTGAGATACAGCAAAAAGTGCCAAGCAATGTAATGAGCTGTGCAATCGATTGTCTGTGCTTTCTTTATTCACATTTGCAATGAGAAAACACTGCTTTAAAATCACAAATACCAAAAAAATCAACTACCTTTCAGTGTGGCCTTTTTAAGCACTTTCATGGCGTACAAGGTCCCAGCATCAGGAGCTGTAATCTTTCGCACCAGGAACACCTAATTTTTGGTCAGTAAAGTAGGACATTTTAAAAAAACAAGTCATTGACAAAATATGCATGTTTTCTTCTTTAGAGCATTCACCAGATGCAAACTCCAGGAGAAAGTTCCGACTGTTTATCCACTTCCGGATTTTAGTCTTGTTCCAGAACTTGAGTTTTGCACGCACAGCCATTTAACAGACCTGGTTTATTAATATGCAGACTACTGGCTCCTCACCTCTTAGGCTGTTGTACTCTGATAGCAAAAACCCTAATCCATAGCTTTTATGACATGCTGGTTAAAGGAGAAGTGGGTTTACCCCCACCGCCCCCCCCCCCCCCCACGGGGTTTTGGAACTGATATGGAGAATGCATGCTTTGATATGAAAGAAAATTATTCACACACAATTCATGAACCAGTAACACAACAAAGTCACAGTTATGTTAATGTTTCAAAAGAACTGGATAGAGAGTGAGAAATGAAGACATGCTTTCCTTGCTCAAAGAGAAAACTCTGCACCTCCTTGTGGTAACATCAGTTTTTCTCACTCTTCTTCTTCTTCTCTTTCTCCAGTTACCTCATCGAAGTGCTGGTAAAAAATTTAAGGATCCTCTGTGAAATGTTTCCAACGCGCTATTTTTATTTCTTTAAAGCTGTTCTTGATACCTATGTTTCGTGTAATCTTCCCCTTATTCTATGTTTACTATATTTTTTTTTTCAATAAAAGTATAACAGACAAGACATCACATTGAAAATTATTAATATCTCACATTGTAGATATGAAAGAAGAAAGGTGGAACAAAGATGAGCAGATCAACTTGAAAGAAACCAGGCTTTCTAACATGTGGTCTGTCCTCTGCCAATAGATCCCCCCCCCCCCCCCCCAAATTGCACTTATGAACTAAATTATCACTAATAATCAACAGGTTTATTACAGATATGTGTCTTCATAGTCAATGCACCTACAATGTCTTGTATCCCCTTTATGGAGATCAACTTCTACCTCGTTTTCTAAAATCTGTTCCCCACCACCCTTTTCTCCAGGCTAACATGATGTTTAACACGGCCAAAATACCTCAACTTTTAGGACAGGATGCTGTTTATGAGCAAGTTCTCCTCGATGTTCAGATCATGTAGAATGTCACGTTTCTTCTTTGTCCATGGCATTTTATTAAATTTTCTGTAACATTTCAAATCAAAAACTCCAAATCTGTCATCAAATGTGTGTGTCCAACAAACCCCTCCCCTTTTTTTCCTTTTTCCAAATGCAGCTGAAATAAGACTTTTTGTCCTGAATTCACCCTTAAAAGGACAACTGGCATATGTGGTGGTTCAGTTAGGCTAAATTATTTGCATCTATTGACCCAACAAACCTTTAATTAGTCACCATGTATGACATACTTGTTAAGGGGCAACAGGTCTATCCCTCCCCTCCCCAATAAGGCACTGGTATCCACATGGGGGAGAAATGAGACAAGCATAACCATCCCACCAAAGCAGATCCCATTTCTCCACAACATCTTATACATAATACATCTTTAATGACACAAAAGACAATAATGCTATAGACAATGTCTTACCTTGCCGAAGGATCCTTGACCTAAAACTTTCAGCAACTCAAAGTGACTTGGATCAGCCTTCTGACCACCTTTTGTGACACTTGTTATCTCCAGCTCATTCTCAGATTCCCCCTAAAAGCATCAAGAAAGTTTACAAATCAGGGTCATTCTTCAAATACATTTGAGATTTCTCATGTTTAGGCACTATAGTTTTCTATCCCTATGAACAATGTTTATTATCTGATTGGATGATTACTCTTCCCCATCCAGCCTGCTACCTCAGACAAGATAAACGGTTGATTAAGGAACGTGGCATGCAATCTCATATTGTAGCCAATTCTTTAGCTGCAAAACTAAACCAATCATTAACATATCTGCAAGTGTGCTGTTCTACAGAAGACTAGGAACAACTTACAATTTTGCAATGCAAGATAACCTTGTATAGTGAAAGTGTTCTTTTTCAAATTAAATTAAATAACAATAACTTTGTTTCATTTCTGTACTAGTAAAACTTTTAATATTTTTAATATAACCATACTTTGAAACTCATGGGGGCAGCAAACCTCTGTATTAAAATGAAAGATCCTTTTCACGCCAGTGGTGACCGGGCATATAACATAAGACTCATATTTTCATAGACCAACCGGCACTTGTTGAGTGATGTGGTTAACATCTAACCAGCCATTCTTACTCCCCAGGAATGACTTGGTACCCATTTTAGGCTGGGTCGACCTGAGAGCCAGGTCATTTTTTTAGAGGAAAAAATCAGACATTGTAGATTATAACCTACAACCTTTCATCCCCAGAGGTGAGCATCTAACCACTATACCAAAGCGACTCTTTATTTTATTGTAACAGTCACTGAAAACTTAAAGAGCAATTCTGCATTCAAAATTGGAAAAAAACCTCATGATTTTCATAAGCCCAATGGAAAGAAACAAAGAATTTTACTTAATATTAAAACTTAACTGACAAATATATATTTTAAAAAATAACCCAATGTGACACAAAGTGGCAAACTTACCTGGTCATCAAGCAGCATATCCTCATTGCTGCCAGTCTGTAAGTATATTATGGAAAACAAATCAGTCAATTATCACAAGCCAAATGCAACTAATATATTTATATATATATATATATATATATATATATATATATATATATATATATATATATATATATATATATATATATATATATATATATATATATATATATATATACACACACACACACACACACACACATACACACAAACCAATAAAGTAAACTATTATGACAAAAAATGTGTCCTATATCTGACAAGCTGATTAGAGAAATTAGACACAGAGAGATAGGAAAAAATGCAGCTGAGAACCTGGTGACGACTGGCAAGATTGATGGACAAATAGCAAAAGGAAAACAGAGAGATAAATACCTGGTTGGCATGGTCATATGGATGGGGGGCAAGACAAGAACAATGACTTGTTCCGTGATTCCAGTGATCATGTGAGATGACGAAACATGACAGCTTATGGGCATGACACCAGGTAAATACACTAAGCGAGAACATGTTACCTTACAGATATGCACTGTTCTGCTTCCCTGTATCCCCCTACAGAGAACAGGCCCTCAGCCAGCCTGCACTATGACATCTTATCCTTTGCCATCTCAGATCGCCCACTTCATTTCTTCCAGTTCTCATTCATCCATATACAGTTCTCTTTTCCATGTGTTATCACTTCAATTTCTCTGGCCCTGTGAATTCCAGCGCAAGGCCATTTTAGTTGTATTTAATCAGGTTTTCTCAATGTGTGCCCTGTCCAGTTCTGGTCTTAACTGAACTTAAGTTTACTTTTCTTATTAGAGCCATACAAACACATGATGCCTGTTTGCCATGAAGCCTGAAGATGTGTAACTGGCGCCTGAGTTATATAACTATTTAGCTTCTTTTTAGCTTGACTGATGGTTGCCAGATGACACAAAGAGTCAGATCTGCACTGAGGTGGGCTTCAACAAAAATTACCTTGGCTCCCAGGTTGAGCCAGCCTAAAATGGGTACAAGATAATGTCCTTGGAAGTAAAGGTGGCTAGGGATATCATCCACTGAGTGCCGATGCATCTACACACACACACACACAAAACAGGTCTAGCACTATACGACAAAGGTGTGAAATGGTTCTTTTCCTTACTTATTTAATAATTATAAGTATGCTAGTTCCAGAGAAAATGGTCTGGTTTTTTTAAATTATTTTTAGTTTTGTCTACCCCTGCAACACAGGTCCTACTTACTGCAGGCAAAGTCAGTTTTCAAGCTTTCTCCATCCAACCTATGCCTCCCATGTTATCTTTTAACCACCCTATGCTACATTATGTTTAAGAGCACAACTTCTTTAAATAGACAAGAGTACAAGTAACAACTATGCTGGAGGAAAAACTTTTAAATATTTTTAATGAAGACAACCATGCAAGAGGCAGATAATGATATATAAGAGAGGACCCCCCCCCCCCCCCCCCCCCCCCCCCCCCCTCCCCCCCCCCCCCCCCCCCCCCCCCCCCCCCCCCCCCCCCCCCCCCCCAAAAAAAAAAAAAAGAAATGGACAATTAGCAGTCTCAGAGAGTGGACATTCAAGGCAGGAGATCCACTGCTGCCAACCTTCACTGGAGGTGAAATATGACTGATGAGGACAGTAACTTAACTATAACATTCACAGAAACAACTCTTTAAACTGTTTTAATCAGTATATTAGTAAGCAATTTATGACTGAGCAGTAGATATTATGCCGAAAACAAAAGAAGGCAGTAGAGAGAAACATAAGAGCTCATGTTTAATGAAAGAAATACACTTCAAATTAGAGCTGAACAAAGTTGTTATGTGGACTGGTACTGGGCACTCAAAGAATGGGATTCATGAGTCTTACTATAATGTTCATGAAGCAAACACTCAGAAGTGAAGACTCAAGTGAGGCCAGAGACAGGTGCAGCTTTGTTTGACAGAAAACTGAAAAGGGTGTAGGCCAGTCCTTCCTTGTCAGATGGTTTCTGCTGTCTTTGGGGGCTAAACCAGTTGTATATTATGTTCCAGCAGCTTAGGGGTTGGAGGGGGGGGGGATGAGATGGGAAGAAAACCTACTGCCAAACAGAATATAGATACATTAACTACAGCCAGAATATTAAACATTAAATTAATTCATTACAGAATCACTGACTAAATCTTCTGATTTCCCCGATTAAAATAGTTTATAATGAGGATGCCATTTGTGATGTAAATTTACCGTTGATAATTAAAATCTGACAAATTAAAACTGCATTAAACCCCTTTATTCACTAGTCTAGAAATAGACCAGGGAAGAGAAAGTTAGTTCCTTATAAAATAAACCGGTTGCGAGTTGAAAGTTCATTAACCTTTCTTCTTGTGTTGTAATGCAAGAAAATGGACACATTCCCTCGGAAGTGATCTAAAGATTTCAATGAGATTCCGATTATTTACAGTTCTTAAAGCTTTGTTTACAATAAAAGGTTCCTCAACTCTAAAATACTGCAGAACTGGCATTAGAATTCCAAAATTGGTGAAGTTTCGCGAGTTTGAGAAAAGCACTAGCACGATCCCGGAATTCCGCACAACACACAGATGCGAAAGAAATACAAGAGTCGTCGAAAGATTGCAGATTCCGTACCTCAGTGCTGTCATGAGTTAGTTCTACAGGGCGCCACGGGTCGGCATTTAGTGCCAGAGGCATGTTTAACGGAGACGGCAGAGGAATCTTGATCAAGTGGACAAGGAGCGCCTGCTACGGAGACAACTGTTGCAGCCGACAATATGGCAGACGTGCAGGCTTGCCAGGACACTGTTGCAGTCTCAATCTAAACTCTAAACTTGGGCTGTGTGGCGGATGCCTGTTCTTTTTCTGTCTGTGCAATATGTCTGTGTCTATTTAGGCGTAAGAGGGAGTGGTTAACTTATTCGGCACCACACAATCAGCTATACAGTATTTGACTGCTCTATACTTCGTATAGTGTTAAAGGGGTACATACAAATTGTTATATGCGCAGCTACCATATATATAACAGTAGCTGGTTCTACCTTCTTCTGTTAACGCCTAATTTTGAGGTTTTTTTTTAGGGGGGGGGGGGGGGGGTGAGGGGGCTATACCAAAACAGACATTCCATACTGTGTCAACCGGCTCCTGGCTGAGGAGCGCGTTTGAAAGTTATATAGCTTTATCCTTGGAAACAGATTTGCAACCTGAAAACTGTAGTTACGACAGGACAAACCAGGCTCTCAGCCTTGGCTGGCAGCTGATCTAGGAAGAAAGCTCCGACACGCTTACAGAGCACTGCTTTTCTGATACTGCAGCTTCTGAAGTGTGCATTGCTCCAAACGTAATGCTGTTATCTTTCCTCCAGAGTAAACCAGGCAGGTCGAGCTAGGAATCATGATCATGGGCAACCCATGGCCTCTACAGTACTGCCCAGGCTTTGTGTCATGAAGCGGAGGAACTGCACCCCGACTTTAATTGTAGCTGTTATTGGAAACAAACTCAGAGGCAGTAGTTACAGGTTGTAATTCCTTGTCAATTGGCGTAGATAAGGGCGTTATGGGTTGTCTGCGACAGTGAGAGACATTTTCGACTGTCACTGATTAAGCTGGGCAACCCACGGCCAATAGGGTGCTGATCCGTTCTGCTTCTAAGTGCGCTTGAAATTCGGACAAAATTCGAATCGTAAGCTGTAAAAACTTGTATATCCGGCAGGAAAGAGAAAAATAACTTCAAGCTTCGGCTTGCCCAATTGGAACGCTTGTGCTGGGTTTTCCACTAGACAACAAAACAACTGTTATAGAAAATCGGTTATTATTGATGCAGAACTCAAAATTTAGGCCTATATGTGTGTGTATATATAAATATATTGTTAGCGTAGTTAAGGGCGCCATGGGTTGCCTGTAAGAGTGGGAGACGTTTTCGAATGTCACTGATCAAGCTAAGCAGCCCACGGCCAATAGGATGTTGATCCTTCACAATCGGTGTGCTTCTGTGTGCGCTTGAAATTAACTCAAAATTCGAATCGTATGCTGTAAAAACTAGTGCATCAGGAAGTAAAACGAATTATAAATTCAAGATTCGGCTTGCCACACAGAACGTTTGTATTGGGTTTTCCACTAGCCAGTAAAACTACTGTGATAGAAAGGCGGTTATCATTGATGCAGAACTCAAAATGTAGGCTTATATATATATATATATATATATATATATATATATATATATAATATATATATATATATAGATATATATATATATATATATATATATATGTGTGTGTGTGTGTGTGTTATACATATGCGTGTGTTATATACATATATATATACATAATATATATATATATATATACATATATATATATATATATATATATATGTGTGTGTGGGTGTATTATATAGACATATAATATAGATATATATATATATATATATATATATATATATATATATATATATATATTTATATAATATACACACACATATATATATAAATATATATGAATGTATATAACACACGCATATGTATAACACACACACACACACACACACATATATATATATATATTATATATATATATATATATATATATATATATATATATATATATATATATATACTATTGGCCTACAGGTAACATGTATGCCAGAGGATGAGTTCGTTACAGAAATAATAATACTTTCTTTTGGAAAGGGGTGGCCAAAAATAAATCCGGAAATGTGGAGTTAGAATCGCAGTTAAGACGTCACTCTTAGATTCATTTGAGAGCCAAGCAAGAGGAAATGACAGAATATTATTAATACGATTTTCTACCTCAAACAGTTTTATCCTCCATGTTACTGCAAATGCACCTACACTAACGTCAGCTAAGCATGCAAAGGATTCTTTTATGAGGAACTGGATAATAAGTGAACGCACTCCTAAATCTGCCAGCATCTACATACTTGTTGATTTTAATTTTCGCATGGGTTCGTCTCAAACTCATAGCCAGGTTTGCCTTGGAAAACATAATGTTGGCCACATGAATGAAAACGGACGGACTATTGTAAGTCTGCACTAGAAGTGACCTGTGCATCACAAACTCCTATTTCAGAACTAAAGACCGTCTTAAGGTGTCATTGAAACATCCTAACTGGACCTTAATCTCCAAAGGAGGCAGCACCTAAACTTTGTACCACTAACTCGCAGCTACCACAGTGCTGACTGTGACACTGACCATTCCCTAGTTGCTAAGAGAGTGAGGCTTAACCTAAATAGAATGTTCAATTCAAGAAACACATGTATCACTGGGTGAAAATGGGGTGGAATCATGGAGACACCCTGCAACCGTCTATGGGATTAGAGAATAGGGAAGGAAGGACTGGTTTGAAGCAAACAGTGAAACACTCCAACCTGTAATTGACTTGAAAGATCTATTTATTACTCCTAAGTAACGAGGAAAGAACAATAAGGAAAACTCACTGGGTTGAGAGATGCTAGAAATTATTTGCAAAAGGTAGCTAGAAAGTGTGCCAATGACTACTGGGTTCTGTTATGTGAAAGCCGTCAAAATGATAGAAATGTGGAAATATTCGAGGCAGATGTGAGCGGATAAAGAAGGCCAAATATTGGCACCACTAAGAGTTTAAATGGGAAGATTAATACTAACAAGAAAAAGCGACTAGATAGATGGGTGGAACATTACAGAAGCTCTGCTCAGTTAAGACCTATCAAACATTCACTATTCCTTATGCCAAAAAGATGCTATCAGCTCCAGACTACCTGGACACATTTTTAACAGTTGTAGAACTTAGTCATGCTACTGATGAACACTTGCTTTGGAGAATGTCCCAGGTAGAGGTGGAATTCTTACTGAGTTCATCAAGAGTGGAACAGACATTCTAACCCCACACATTCACCAACCTGCTGTGTGAGCGACAGGTTCCACAAAACTTCAAAGAGGTATCATGACTATGTACAAGAACTAGGGCGATCGGAGTGACTACAGGTACAGGTAAATATCACTGCTGTGTGCTATTGGAAAAGTACTTGCGATGATTGTTCTGCAAAGACTCAAATCCCAGGAGGGCAGGTTTAACCGCAGTCAAAGTATAGATTTCGTTTAACAGTCTACCATTGACAGGATATTTTCATTATGACAGTTGCAGGAAAATACCTTGAACAAAATCATCAACTGTATATTCTTCTTCTTCTTCTGCCTTTCTATCCCCCTATGGAGCATAGGCCCTCAACCAACTCACGCCAAGTCGTTCTATCCTTCGACATTGCATGGAGCTCTCCCCATGTCCTCCCCATCTTTCTAACTCCATTCTCCTCTTCATTTGCACCTTCCTTAAATAGTTTATCAGCTCTTTCATTTTCGGAAACTCTACAGTTGGATGGTATCCATTGCATAGTTATCTTACACCGACTGCCTAGTTTGGAGAGTAGTGTTCGTATACCAGGTAGTTTTCCAGATTGGAGTGCCTGAAGCACCGCTTTTGCAGCTGTCAGAAATACCACGGTTTGTGAAATATGACGTATATTTAAAAGTTTTTTCTGCTGCTATTTTGATGTATCAATTCACCACTCATACCCTCTACTTGCTCATACCCTCTTTAAAATTTACTTTAAAAAGTGCCTTTCGCGATCTACACTGCTCGAAAGCTGAAAGCCAAAACCAGAATAAGGAAGGTACTCATCAGAGAGCTGCTATTTACAGATGATGCAGCAATTGCCATCCACTCAGAGAAGAAGCTGTTTGTTTAATAACTGCATGCTCTGAATAGGAACTAACAATCAGAAAAAAAAAGACAAAGATCATTGTGCAAGGTGTTAATTATAGACCTGGAGTCTACATCCATAGTGAAGAGCTGGGGACAGTTGGCCATTTTATCAGCTGGGATCCACAGTGAATAATTACAAACTATCACTGGTCAAGAAATCAACATCAGGATAGGCAAGGCAGGAACAACTATGAGCATATTAACAAAAAGAGTGGTAGAACATAGAGATAAAAACTGTGTCTATCATGCTTTTTTGTTTTGATACACTGAACTACTGGAAAGAGTAGGCATTATAACGATTTTTTCAAAGCTCAGCCTACGAATGCTTAGGTGGCTGGGTCACACCTGGAGAATGAAGATGGTAGAGTTCCTAAAGATATCCTTTATGGTAGTGGCTCTCAACCTTCCTAATGCCGCTACCCTTTAATACAGTTTCCTCATCCTGTGGCGACCCCCAAACAATTATTTTTCCTTCATAACTTTAATGAATATATGTTTTCGAATGGTCTTGGGCGACCCCTGTGAAAGGGTCTTTCGAAACCACCCCCACCCCCCCCCACCCCCCAAAAAAAGGGCGCGATCGGCAGGTTGGGAACCGCTGCTCTTTGGTGAATTACTGATGGGTCGAAGATGTCGAAGCAGACTTTTACTACGATATAAAGAGGTTTGCAAGCGGGGCATGAATGATACGGATACTGAGGTGGATTCGTGGGAAGAAAAGCCATGGACCGTGTTGTTACCGGGACCCTATTTAGGGGGAGGGGAGAGAATAGGCCTACCGCACTGAACAAGCATGTCGCAGGAGGCAACTAATAAGGCGTGTTTCCTTTCAGGCGCGCAGTAGGCGTCATGGGGTCAGAAACTGGGTGGTGGTTTGCACCCTTGCAGTAACCCCCCCCCCCCCCACCCCCACCCCACTTAAAAGACTTTTTAAAAAAC